TAAAAAATTCAGAATAATCTAACGGCAAGTTAATTTCTTTTATTTAAAAAAAAAACTAAGATATTAATGGTTAAAAAATGATTTTATATTAAAGATTCGATTCTTTGATATCATTTTTTTATATCAATGCAAAAATTATTTTTTTTTATATTTCAAGAATTCGATTTTACGATATCAAGATATTTTAAATATAAGAAAATACGTGAAATATACTTAGACAGCACCTCATACATGTAGGACGTGCTTACAAATATCAGCTAGGTGATTGAACTAAAGGGCGTTCGTTCTGGTGATATCAATTGATTTATTTTGTTTGTCCATGCCGTCGGACCTAATTGACTTTTGACCTCCGTAGAAACATCAATAACCACCACTCCACTATTAAGACCAACCAGAAGTCTCTGATGAGACTGTAGCTCTACTGGTTGTATTTATAAAGGAAGATAAAAGTAGCACTTTGACTTGAAACTTTGCAACAGCAATAATCAGAATAATGATCCTTGGTTTAGTCTCTTTTGTGGCAAGATTTATTATTATATCAGACTAAAACTGTAGGAGGAGTAGCCTTTTAAAACAATTTTACAGAAATTTTGATTTAAGTAACCATGGCAACATCATTCAACAAAAATCAAAAAACAATAACACCAATTATGTATCTCTGTAGTCTACTTGTATGCCACATTATACTGAAATCAGACAAAAAATGTAGGAGGAGTAGCGTTTTGAAAGTATTTCAAGAAATTTCTACTTTTATTAACCATGGCAACACCGTTCATTGAAATCCAAAACTGGTACAGAGAATTATGTATCTTAGTGTAGTCTAATCGTGTGCTAAGTTATACTAAAATTAGACCAAAACTGTAGGAGGAGTAGCATTTTGAAGGTATTTCAAGGAAATTTCAATTTTTAGTAACCATGGCAACAATGTTCATCAAAATCAGAAAATCAATATAAAGAATTACGCATCTTAGTATAGTCTACTTGTGTGCCAAGTTATATTGAAATCAGATAAAAACTGTAGGAGGAGTAGCATTTTGAAAGTATTTCACAGAAATTTCTATTTTTAGTAACCATGGCAACACCGTTCATCGAAATCAAAAACCGATACACAGAATTATGTATCTTAGTATAGTCTACTTGCGCGCCAAGTTATACTGAAATCAGATCAAAACTGTAGGAGGAGTAGCATTTTGAATGTTTTTCACAGAAATTTCTATTTTTAGTAACCATGGCAACACCGTTCATCGAAATCAAAAACCGATACACAGAATTATGTATCTTAGTGTAGTCTACTTGTGTGCCAAGTTATACTGAAATCAGACCAAAACTGTAGGAGGAGTAGCATTTTGAAAAATTGTTTACAGACGGACAGACAGACAGACAGACAGACGGACGGACGACGGACACCTTACTATCGCATAAGCTCTTCTGGTCTCTGACCAGTAGAGCTAAAAACCCAAAAAAGCCTGTCGGGAAACATTTCAACCTCAATGGTCACAATGGGAGGATATGACAATGTAGTGGTTATTGACCATAATCCTCATTGGACGGACACGGAAGGAAAAGCTATGGATGCACAGATTGAAGTCATTTAGGCACGATGGCAGAACAAACACATTGATTTTACAAGAATGAACATCGGTTGGTCAAACCACCTGACATTCGTAAAGACGCCGTCCTATTGAACCATATTATCAACCTCAAATAAAACGAAAGACTTATTAAGAGTCCGCTTCCTTACCTTAATCGTAATCGACTTTTTATAAGCTTAATAAACTTAATCAGTAGCTTACACAAACAAGATGTGTTTGTGAAACACTGATGCCCCCGTATGGCAACTAACAGCAAAGGTTTAAGTTTTTCAAATGCAAATCCAATATGTTGGTACCCAAAGTAAGGTCTTGTTTCGAGGAATAAACCTGTGAAATATGAAAGCCCTAGCAGCAACCATTGGATAGATATGGAAAAGGTTAAAGTTTTTTTCAAAAGCATGTCAAACATCAAGGTCAAGGTCAAAATTAATGGTGCCCAAGGGAAGGCCTTCTCCCAAGAAATACACAGGTGAAATATGAAAGCCGAAGCACCAATCGTTCAAAAGTTATGACCAAGGTTAAAGTTTTCCAAAAGTAGATCAAACTCCAAGGTTAAGGTCAAAGGGACAAAGTTGTTAGTATCCAAAGAAAGGCCTTGTCACAAGGATTACATATGTGAAGTATGAAAGCCCTTACACCAATTGTTCAAAAGTTATGACCAAGGTTAAAGTTTGGTAAAATTTTGCAAAACTGGGTCAAACTCCAAGGTCAAGGTCAAAAGGTCAAATATGGTGGTACCCAAAGAAAGGTATTGTCACAAGGAATACACATGTGAAATATGAAAGCCATAGCTCCAACCAATCAAAAGTTATGGGCAAGGTTAAAGTATTTGCGGACAAACAGACAGACAGACAGACGGACAGGGCAAAAACTATATACCCTAGAATCTTCGATACGGGGGCATAAAAAACCCAAACGATATGTTGCATAGTTAACATTTCAAACGTGTAACTTCTCTGTGTTAATCAAGAGCCCTCTATACATCAGTGCAATTTTATTTTTGGACATTGAGAAAATTATATTGTATACAGGTGTACATTTTGAGCTTATCCATATGATACGCGGCATTTACCCCCTGGAAAAATGTTCAAAGACAATTAAACAAGTATCAATGAACAGTATTATTTACTTCAGTGGATAAAATATATGCAAATGAAATGTTCTGTTAATTTATCTTGACCTTTTAAAATGTTAATAATGCTTGAATTCATTAAAAATTGAGAAATACATTGTAGATTTTCAATTTATTTGAATTTAGATCCAAGGGCAGATCACTCTAACTGCAGAAAACTACTACAGAATCAGAACTCTTTAGTGTGCAGTGTGGAGAGGGTTCTTAAAACCAAACTCGTCAAAGACTTTAATATTGCCCATAACTTTTGATTGGTTGGAGCTATTGCTTACATATTTCACATGTGTATTCCTTGTGACAAGATCTTCCTTTCGGTACCAACATACCATATTTGACCTCTTAAAGCTTGGCCTTACATGGAGTTTTAGCCACTTTTGCAAAAACTTATCCGACTTTAACCTTGGCCATAACTTTTGAACAGTTGGTTCTAGGGCTTTCATATTTCACAAGTGTATTCATTGTGACAAGACCTTTCCAATTTTGACCTTGACCTTGACCTACTTTTGAAAAACTTTAACCTTCAGCATAATTTTTGAACAGTTGGTTTTTATACTTTGCATGTGTATTTCTTATGACAAGGCCTTCCCTTACGTTTCATTAATTTTGATCCTTTGACCTTGACCTTGGAGTTTGACCCACTTTTAGAAAACATTAAGTTTGACCATAACTTAATTTTGAATGGTTGGTGCTTGGGCTTTCATATTTATCAGGTATATCCAGTGACAGAAGTCCTTTCTTTGGGTTACAACATTTTTGATCTCTTCACCTCGGAGTCACAGGCACTTGGGGTATGGACCCCCCCCCCCTTTTCCCATTTTTTTTCTTTTTAAATCTGGGGTCAAGTCACCTTTTTCCTATTTTTGTATTCTAATATGCACTGTATGTTATCAATAATGTAACTCTTTTGTCTCTATAAGCTGTTTTTAAATATATCGTTTTCGACTGATACATAAAAAGAGAGAAGGCTTGCAACTCTTTTCTCATCGTCTGCCTCACCTCGCTTAAACTTCGCCTGATTATTTATCGAAAGAATAAGAAAACATGGAATATGCATACATCAATAAATTCGTTATACATTCTTCTTTCTTTTCATATTTCCATTTAATTTTTATGTGCCCCCGATTTGTAAATATTTCGATTAAATCATCCGCATCTAGGGTAAATTTTGTTGATGTGCACCAGCTGGGACGGAAGTGCAATAACGGTAACTCTAACTTTATAAATGTTCTGCATTAAAAAAAATTCCAGGCTTTGTAATAACAATATAGTGGAATTTGGTTGTCTAGGTCGTCTATTTAAAGTATAATCTTCATCCATTAAAATTTGCTAGTTAAAGTTATCTTGTTATTCACAGAACTTACCGTTACATGTTATATGAAGAGAAAATTCGAGACTTATTCCTTCTCGCATTTAATGTTCCGAATGACATTACATGTAATGATGATACCCGAAAATACCGGGCACTTCCGTCCCAGCTGGTGCACATCAACAAAATTTACCCTAGATGCGGATGATTTAATCGAAATATTTACAAATCGGGGGCACATAAAAATTAAATGGAAATATGAAAAGAAAGAAGAATGTATAACGAATTTATTGATGTATGCATATTCCATGTTTTCTTATTCTTTCGATAAATAATCAGGCGAAGTTTAAGCGAGGTGAGGCAGACGATGAGAAAAGAGTTGCAAGCCTTCTCTCTTTTTATGTATCAGTCGAAAACGATATATTTATAAACAGCTTATAGAGACAAAAGAGTTACATTATTGATAACATACAGTGCATATTAGAATACAAAAATAGGAAAAAGGTGACTTGACCCCAGATTTAAAAAGAAAAAAAAGGGGGGGTCCATACCCCAAGTGCCTGTGCTCGGAGTTTGACTTGCATTTGAGAAACTTTAACCTTCGCCATAAGCTGCCATATGGGGGCATCAGTGTTTAACAAATACTGTTTTCCCTGTCAAACTTTTTCAGTTGAGAATTTTTTCTGGCTCAGTGTCCCCCCCCCCCCCCCTCGTTTCAAAAACGATACTATACGTGCCTGAATCAATTATATTACTATTATACTATAATTTAGGTTTAAGGTACTGGCATATTTTATATATTTTTTAAATGTTATTGTTTATTTTTTCTAAAGAAGGGACAGGTCGTTGAAAAAAAATTAACTGATTTCGTCATTTCTCCTTTCGTATATTTCCGTCACGGCGTTGTTCCGGAAATAGTTTTTCACTCCTGGGGACCAGGTTTACACAGGCCTGTGTCTTGTGACAGTGATTGTTATTGAAAACGGTTAGTATATAACTGTCAGTAACCTGGACAAAAAACAGATAAAGATAAGACTATGAAATTATCAGTATTTTATAGCTAGGATATTAATTGTTTGTAATGAATAACTGAAAACTGCTGAACGGCACTCGAAAGTCTTGAATTTTGAAGATCTTTACCACTGATTCTACTTTCCATTTGTCAAATTGATGCTGGATGTAGTGTATGAAGATACGAATGCAGTTTTGAGTAAACTTTCATCAGTTGTAAATAAGAGCAGCGTTTATAAATCGATTAATGTTGAATATTACCTCAACAGCTTAGTTACATTGATCGTTGTTAACTATAAAATTTAACCCTATCTTAACTGTTTACAGATATCAGGATATATCACAATAGCATGGCATCTCAAAATAAGGAGGCACCTCCTGCTTATCAAGAAGTAGCAGGTCAACAAGGTGGTAAGTCATCCAACTGAAAATATTTGAAGGAGCAAGGTGTGATAACTACTTCTGGTCCTTTTCTCTTTAGAGAAGTGGACGGGCTTTCGTCTACAATCATGGATGTAGGCGAAAGCCTGTCCACTTCTCTAAAGAGAATAGTTCACGTCCCTTTAGGATGTTTACCAATCCAATCCATTATGAAAAACTATTACAATTTCTATATATACACATGATATATAGTATAATTGAGAGAAATCTTCCGCAGTGTAAAAATAAATCTAATGCCAGATATATCTACATCTAGCTCACGGCAGGTGCAGTACCATACATTTATTGACTGGGTTCCAGCATGCATATTTGTTTGACTCTGGAGCCAAACTGTTCGCCTAATATTCCCAATTGAAAGGGTACAGGACCCTGTACCAAAAATGGTCAATACGTTCTATTTCCACTATGGAAGAGTTATACTTCTTAGTGCACTCTTTTGTGAAAAAGTTGAAAAATGTACAAATCTCACGGGATTTCAGGGACAAACGTAGCGTAAAAATGTACCGGGTAAACAATATGTTGAATGTCGATGAACAAATCCTAAGAAAATGCAAATGAAATATTTTATTGTTGTGGACTTTATATACATAAAGAGTAGGAATGACAACGATATCAATTTATATCTGTTGTAGATCGTATGTATCTATTTATAGCATGGTACATCTAAATACAATACACATGCCTCGGAAATGTCGTATTTTTATGCCCCGCCATGAATATGGCCGGGGCATATAGTGTTTGTCATGTCCGTCTTCCGTCCTTCTGTCCTTCCGTCCTTCCGTCTGTCCTTCCGTCACACTTTGCGTTTAGCTCTGTTCAAAGCTCAGTTTCAAAGAAACTATCCAAGATATTTTTATCAAACTTCATATGCTGATAGATATTGATGAGGGCTATGCAACTGTATCAACATTTTTTGACCTTGACCTTTCCTTTGACCTTGACCTCACTTTTCTTAAATTAGTGTTTAGCTCAGTTTTAAAGATACCATTCAAGATAGTGTAATCAAACTTCATATGTTGATACATATTGATGTAAGCTATTCAATTGCATCAACATTTTTTTGACCTTGACCTTTCTTTTGACCTTGACCTCACTTTTCTTAAATTAATGTTTAGCTCTGTTTTAATGAAACCATTCAAGATATTTTTAACAAACTTCATATGCTGATACATACTGATGAGAGCTATTCAACTGCATCAATATTTTTTACCTTGACCTTTCCTTTGACCTTGACCTCACTTTTCTTAAATAAGTTTTTAGCTCAGTTTTAAAGATACCATTCAAGATAGTGTTATCAAACTTCATATGCTGATACATACTGATGAGAGCTATTCAGCTGCATCAACATTTTTTGACCTTGACCTTTCCTTTGATCTTGACCTCACTTTTCTTAAATTTTAGTGTCAAACTTCATATGCTGATACATACTGATGAGAGCTATTCAACTGCATCAATATTTTTTGACCTTGACCTTTCCTTTGACCTTGACCTCACTTTTCTTAAATTAGTGTTTAGCTCAGTTTTTAAGAAACCATTCATAATATTTTCATCAAACTTCATATGCTAATACATACTGATGTAACCTTTTCAACTGCATCAACATATTTTGACCTTGACCTTTCCTTTGACCTTGACCTCACTTTTCTTAAATTAGTGTCAAACTTCATATGCTGATACATACCGATGAGAGCTATTCAACTGCATCAATATTTTTTGACCTTGACCTTTCCTTTGACCTTGACCTCACTTTTCTTAAATTAGTGTTTAGCTCAGTTTTTAAGAAACCATTCATAATATTTTCATCAAACTTCATATGCTAATACATACTGATGTAACCTTTTCAACTACATCAATATTTTTTGATCTTGACCTTTCCTTTGATCTTGACCTCACTTTTCTTAAATTAGTTTCTGAATCAAACGTCATATGCTGATACATACTGATGTAAGCTATTCAACTGCAGCAATATTTTTTGACCTTGACCTTTCCTTTGACCTTGACCTCACTTTTCTCAATTTGTGTTAAAATGTTGCATTACTAATATACCCTTGGCGGGGCATTCATGTCCTATGGACATATTTCTAGTTTACTAATGGATGATAAATTTAGGGTTCTCGCTCTCTTACATATGTCTTTTAGTTCTTCTATTCTTTAACTGGAATGACAAATACATTTAACATTAAAAATTGGATTGAGGTTGGCATGTTTTGTATTATCCGCAACGCCATGCTGTCCCTGTCAGACAGCCAAACGCGCCTCTAATTTTGAAGAGTTCACTAATGGAAATAGAATGTATTAAGCCCTTTGTGAAAAATGATCAGGCCAAAGTGTAGGATTAACAAATGCAAATTAGTAAGTGACAGTGACATAAAAAAACCAAAAAACATAGGTCTAAATCTCACTGATACATCCAGCTTCCTATATTTTGGACTACTCAGAATATTAGAAAGGATACTTTTTTATGGTCACAGATTTATGAGGGAAACAATTCTTAAAAATATAGCAAAAATATCTCTTACTTTTTGGATAGTAAGTAATGTTATCTAGCTGCAATAATGTAGCCCTCTCCAATATTTTTATCTGATGTTTTCAGGAGAGGGTAGCCCTCTCCAAAAAAAAAAAAAAAAATCGGAGAGGGCTACATTATTGCAGCTATGGGATATCAAGTGCTGAGTCCAAGGGCTTACTGATAAGATTGGTACTGTACAAGTTTTTCTGCTGGGTAATCTATTATGGTGTATTAGTTGCTGTATACAGGAAATTTTTGCCCTCGTTTTCTTTTGGCCCCTTTCGCCAAATTTAAAGAGTACTAGTATTTCTTGAACAAAACTGTGACTGGGCGAAATTAAAACGGTGCAAAATAATTTTGAAGTGTAAAAAGAGCTAAATTAACATGGGGCAAAAATAACCCTGTATACACTATACTGTATAAGGTAAAAAAACATGCTGGTAGAAGCAGAACTAGGGAGGACGGAGCTAGGAGGATAGTATCTAATTACAGGGTCATCTTAGAGACATACAGGGAGATTTCTGCCAATCCTATAAAAATTGTTTTTGGGGAGATATAGATATTGACAGTGTGTGGTAATCTGTAAATAATGCACCTTTCAGATAGAAATACATATTCAACATGATTTTTTTAAAAAAAAAAAGCTTTTAAGTTGATTCTAGTGTGACAAACTAGGAGTTGCTATGGTTGAAAGCTATGACCTAAATCATAAACAGATTTAGACTGAATTTTTTTTTTTGCTATCAGGTGGAAATTATGGGGCAGTTCCCCCAACTGCACCCTATCAGGCAGGTTATCCCCCGGCAGGGGCATACAATCATGGTTATGATCCCTCCAAACACCATCAAGGATACAACCAGCCAGGATATCATCAGGGCGGGCAACCAGGATATGGACAGCAAGGGTACCAGCAGCAATATGGGGTTGTAGTTCAGCAACAGCCAGCAACTCAAGTAGTTCTTGTTGGGGGCTGTCCAGCATGCAGGGTAAGTACTTCATCTTTCTGAAAACTTTGTAATTTGTACATCTGTTGTTCAGGGGCTGTAAATGTGTAGATTAATCAACAAGATATCAGTCAACTTAGTTACACATCCAATTATGCCTAAATTTAAATACTTAAATTTTAATGTTTAACTAATGTTAGGCTTAGCTGTATACTGTGACAACAAGCTGAAATGAACTTATACAGTGGCGCCTCATTTATCCGGACGCCTCCGTTCCCAATGAAAACGTCCGGATAAATGAATCGTCCGGATAAGTGAATCGCTTCTAAAAAAAAAAAACCTTTTCCAAGCATGTGTATATGCACATGCTGAGTAGATCAAAATTTTCTCAGCTCATGAATTCACGCCAGAGAAGGCGAATAAAATAGCCTGTGTTAAAAAAGGTCTCAGCATAAAATTGCCTAGTATCAATTTTTTTATCGCATAAATTACATTTTAATATATTTTTTTCTTTACTTAATTACTTCTTTTAAAGCTAAAAAATAAAAAGTTTAAACCAAAATATCAGTTTTTTCCCTTTGCCTTTACATTTGATACCTGTATATATTCCCGTATATTCTTTAGACAGGGCTACTATAGTAACTGAACACTTCATGCTATCTCAAACACGCGCAATCAGTGAAAGTATTGTAAACATTCAACATAAACACAAGCAATCTTAATGATTATCAATTATTTTTTTCTAAAGACTCTAAGTTTGAATTTCGATCACAAAAAATACCTTGAAAAAACGTAATCAACTTCTATACGTAACGCCAGCTTTATATTTCTTTTCTAAAGTAACGTACGTTTATAGACGGTAGTACATTAAATAGAAAGATATTTCTTTTCTGCCTAATGTAGAAAAAAGCGTTTCAAATACATTTACATTTTTAGAAATAGAAAATCATATTTTAAACTAACAGTCCACATGATCAAGACCATTACGAAATTGCTCGTAATTTATTGTTCTTTTTATTTACAAATCTCCAAAATTCTCATGAATTTACCGCTGTATATACGGTTAGCAATATGATTTTGAACGGATTATAATTTAAGTAATGCACAGTGTAAGCGAAATTTTTCGAGTTTCATAATAGACGTGTGATTAATTTAATTGGGGTAAACACATAGATTAATTATAGACACTTTTGTCTGTAGGTCACAGGTAACCGCCTTTAAACTGACTACATGGCCAATGTTTTTACAACAATTAACACTACTGCAAGATGGGTGAGAAAAAGCCGTTTCTTGAAAAATTACCGTCCGGATAAACGAGTCATTTTTTCAACGAACTATTACGTTTTGTAGTAGAAATCGACCGTCCGGATACGGAACGCGAATTTCCGGATTAATGAGACAGAATAACGTGGAAAAAATCGGTTCCCCAAAAATATCGTCCGGAAGGTGAAGCGTCCGGATAAATGGCGTCCGGATAAACGCGGCGCCACTGTACATGGAACAAAATGATAAAAACTTTGAATGCTATCATTGCAATATTCAGAATGTCCTATAGTCAAATTGCCTTAAGGTGCTTTTTTGTATGTTGAATTTTCTATCATTGTTAGAGATTATGAATCACTGAATTGTTTGTAAAGAGCTAGGTTCACTTTATGCATAAAATGGCCCTGTCCTTATATCAATTAATTGACTATTACCCTCTATCCCATTTCATATATCAAAATAAAGTAGAGACTTAGTACTTTCATTTCCTATAACAAAATTTCTTTTTGAGAATCCAGGTATTGGAAAACAGCTTTGAGAAAATGCAATGTTCTTGAATTTGCAGAAAACATGCGTACATGTATTTGACTACCTTCAGCAAAGAATTAAAATATGAGCACAGCCCACGATCCAAAAGTTAAAACATGTTTTGTGATCTTCAGAAAGAGATTTATCATTATGTAATTGCATATTTTGGATCAGAGGTTGTGCTGTACATGTAATATGGAAAAATACCTCATTTTTTGGCCATTTTTAAGGGAATTTACAGGATATTGGAAAAATGACGCATTTTATGATGTCATAATGCATTGACTAGAGAGAAAATTACGTCATGTTCAATAGATACACGGTCACCAAGGATCCAAGTTATAAATACTGCATTTTCAACCAAAACTGAGCAGTTTCGATTTTTCAGAAATTCTCAGGGCCAAAAAGGGCCCTAAGTGGCTCTTGCTCTTTATGCAAGGAATAATACTGATTGAATAGCAGTTTTAAATTTCTATAAATGAGGCCTCTAACACTTACTTCCCTATGCTAAATCCTTTAATTTGTTTTTATAACAGAAAAAAGAAAGAATGTAACAAATGTATGCTCTTCAGTCTTGATAATATTATTTTGTATTTTACAGTCTGGAGTTCTGGAGGAAGACTACACGTGTTTAGGTGTTCTTTGTGCTATACTGTTCTTTCCCCTCGGCATTCTTTGTTGTTTAGCCATGCGACAACGGCGTTGTCCAAACTGTGGGGCTGTGTTTGATTAGGACATGTCATACAGATTTAAAGAGATAACAACACAGATAGATACCACAAACAGATGCAGGGACATGATGAGTTATTTTGTAATGTCATTCATCTGCATGTACATGTATATATTGATGTTTTCTAGATTTAGTGATCAATTCCCAAAATTCTACAATTACCGGTACAATATATATATGTATTTTTTTGTTTTTTGTTTTTGCTTTAATAACGTATTTTAGTTGAGTAAAAAATCCGTGATCTTTCAGAAAAGTTCATCAAATTGTATAAATTTACAGATTTTCCTAGGACAGTCAGACCAATATATTTCTTCATTTTGATCATTTTGTAACACATTAGTAAGTATTATATCTGAGATGATTCCATTTTGTTCACATTCTCACCGTTACATCTTTTCAGACATACATCCCTGAATTTCTTCTTCTTTTTTTTTTTTATTTGACAGATTAATGACAGGAAACTTCAATATTTGGACCTGTTAGTATTCTTTTGAAATCTATAATAGTTACCCATAATCCTTTGTGTTTTATTTGGAGAAAAGTTTAATGATTTCATGATGAAAACAGCATTTGATCTGTGAGAAAAAAGAGAAAGTATTGTCCTCTTATTTACATGTATTGGTTGTGAACCATTTACATGTGTAAAATTCATGTTTTTCAGTGGAGAAATCTTAATGCACTTGTGCATGCATGAATGTCGGTTATTTAGTTATTTTAAAGATTTTTATGCATTGTTAACTATTGGGTATATAGATATTCTAAAGAATTTAAGAATTTTATTGAAAAATGTGCAATATAAAATATTATTAATTTTTGTGATGTTATAATCACCAAATTAGATATATAGCTATACATTATCATTCATGTTTACCTTACAAGTTTTAAGTATGTATATTATAAAATCTTTGTTACTAATGATGCATCCCTTGTTTCTCCGATACCCTGATGGACTTTTAAAAACACAGATAGCACTAATGTAAATAAAAAGCTTATGATTTCCTGGAAATATATTACAAGTGTAAAAAAGGATTGGTCTGGTGGGCTTGCAATGCAGACAATGGACAAAATGTAGGGAGGAAAGTTAATTGATTCCTGATAAGGACTTGCATAGTGTGATTATTTGAAATAATGTTAATACATATACATTGTACAGTTGTCGTTTTCATCTCGTTTCATGATCTGCAATTGTTGCACAATTTACATTTACACATCTTCATTGTTATTGATTTTTTTTTATGTTCCACTTGTAAATCAGTTGTAAATAAATTTTGTAATTGATCTGTGTTTCTTGTTTTTTAAGTACCAGTTTTTAGCTCACCTGAGCTGAAAGCTCAAGTGAGCTTTTCTGATCACATTTTGTCCGTCTTCCATCTGTTTAGCTGTCTGTCTGTCCATCGGTCTGTATTCACATTTTTGACTTCTTCTCAAGAACCTTTGGGCCAATTTCAATCAAACTTGCCACAAATCATCTTTGGGTGAAGAGGAGTCAAGTTTGTTCAAATGAAGTGCCACATCCTCTTTCAAGGGGAGATCATTAAGAAATAGTGAAAATTTTGTGATATCTTTTCTCAAGAACCACTAGGCCAAAAAAGTTGAAACTTATAGGAAACCTTTTTTAGGTCACCTGAGTCACTCAGGTGACCTATTGCTATCCGTTCTCGTCCGTCGTCGTGCGTCGTGTGTTAACATTTGAACATTTTTAGCTTCTTCTCTGAAACCGCTTAACCAATTTCAACCAAATTTGGCATATAGCATCTATGGGTGAAGGGGAACAAAAATTGTGAATTTCATGGTCCCTGCCCCCCTGGGGCCTGAGGGGTGGGGCTAAAACCACCAAAAATAATGCAATCTTTAAAAATCTTCTTCTTTACTCCAGGACATCAAGCAGTCAAACTGTTGGCATCATTGTAACAAGCATTGAGCCCTCTACCAAAATTGTGAAATTCATGGCCCCAGGGTCAGGGGTTCTGGCCCCAGGGTGGGGCTATATACATCATATAGTGAAAGTGCATCATTTCTTTGAAAATCTTCTTCTCTGCTCCTGGGTATTAAATAAAGTAACTTAGTACATAGTTATGAAGAGCAAGAGTGCCTCTTCCAAAATTGTGAAATTCATGACCCCAGGGTCAGGGGTTCTGGTGTTAGGGCAGGGCTCTATTGATTATATAGTGAAAATGCATTAATTCTTTGAAAATCTTTTTCTGTGCTCCTGGGTATTAAAAAAAGGAACTAAGTACATAGTTATGATGAGCAAGAAGTCCTCTTCAGAAATTGTGAAATTCATGGCCCCTGGGTCAGGGGTTCTGGCCCCAGGGTGGGGCTATATAGATCATATAGTGAAAGTGCATTATTTCTTTGAAAATCTTCTTCTCTTCTCCTGGGTATTAAATAAAGTAACTAAGTACATAGTTATGAAGAGCAAGAGTGCCTCTTCCAAAATTGTGAAATTCATGGCCCCAGGGTCAGGGGTTCTGGTGTTAGGGCAGGGCTCTATTGATTATATAGTGAAAATGCATTAATTCTTTGAAAATCTTCTTCTGTGCTCCTGGGTATTAAAAAAAGTAACTAAGTACATAGTTATGATGAGCAAGAGTGCCTCTTCCAAAATTGTGAAATTCATGGCCCCAGGGTCAGGGGTTCTGGCCCCAGGGTGGGGCTATATACATCATATAGTGAAAGTGTATTAATTCTTTGAAAATCTTCTTCTCTGCTCCTGGGTATTAAATAAAGTAACTAAGTACATAGTTATGATGACCAAGAGAGCCTCTTCCAAAATTGTGAAATTCATGGCCCCAGGGTCAGGGGTTCTGGTGTTAGGGCGGGGCTCTATAGATTATATAGTGAAAATGCATTAATTCTTTGAAAATCTTCTTCTCTGCTCCTGGGTATTGAATAAAGTAACTAAGTACATAGTTATGATGACCAAGAGAGCCTCTTCCAAAATTGTGAAATTCATGGCCCCAGGGTCAGGGGTTCTGGTGTTAGGGTGGGGCTCTATAGATTATATAGTGAACAAGCAGAAATTCTTTGAAAATCTTCTTCTGTGCTCCTGGGTATTAAATAAAGTAACTAAGTACATAGTTATGATGAGCAAAAGTGCCTTTTCAAAAATTTTGAATTTCATGGCCCGAGGGTCAGGGGTTCTGGTGTTAGGGTGGGGCTCTATTGATTATATAATGAAAATGCATTGATTCTTTGAAAATCTTCTCTGCTACTGGAGATTATTTAAACAAACTAAGTGCATGATTATGATAGGCAAGGATGCTTCTTCCAAAATTTTTAAATATGTGGCTTCAGTTTTTGGGGCTCTTGAGGAAGGGGGGGGGGGGCTCTGTTGATTATATAGTGAAAAAGCATTAATTCTATTAATTAATCATTAATTAATCCTGTCTGCTCCTTAGCATTGAGCTGATAAATAAATTGCTTAGCTATGATGAAAATGGGAGCTTCGAACAGAATTTTTAAATCTTGTGGTCCTAGGGTCAGGGGTTCTGGCATAACGAGGGGGGGGGGGGGGGCTTTTGATAATATAGTGGAAAAGTGTTAATTCTTCGAAGTCCATAGTTATGATGATGAGGGTAACTCTTCCAAATCTGTAAATTTCTTGACCCTTGGTCTTGGGTTCTGGTGTTAGGGTAAGGCTTTGTTGAATCTGTAGTGAAAATGCATTGTACCTGAGAAATTCTTCTCTGCTTCTGGGCATATCGGAAGAAAACTGAGTAAAAGTTTAAATGATATAAGTAAGCGTATTTCTACCAGATTTTTGAACATCTGGACCATTTGTCTAAGCATTCTAGTCCTGGGCAGGGCTCTATTAATTTGTATTCTACTGAGAGAAGTTATTCCCCTTTTCTGTTCACTTTTGATAATTAATCACTGTAAATAATGTATTTGAAAGGTAAATAGAATAAAATAATTATGCAAGAATGTTTAACATATAATTCAAAAAGTATTTTCTTAGTTTTAATAATCAGGTAGACCTGTAAGTAATAGATAAATAAAAATGAGACAAAAATAACTTATCTTATTAAAAGTTCTTCAAAGACCATAAGAGAGGTCAATGCTAGAGGTCTTAATATGGGTTTAAAAATAGTACAGAAGCACTAATAGTTTGTTAATAGTCTGCATGGTGATAGTGTTAAGTGGAGCACAGATTAGAACTTACTTTATGAGTTGATACTGAATACTAGACTAATTATTTTGTTGATCCTGATCTTCCTACTTCTCTTGCTTTAGGGCAAAAAAGCTTCATCTGTCAGTGTATTTAACTTCTAAATTGTTGTATTATACTCAGGTGACCGTTAAGGCCCTTGGGCCTCTTGTTACATATAAGTGTAGATTCAAATTTGTTCAAATCAAAATTTGTTCAAATGACCCCTGGGGGTAGGGTGGGGCCACAATAAGGGATCAAAGTTTTACCTAGGAATATACATGTATAAAAAAAATCTTGAAAAATCTTCTTCTCAAGAACAGCATAGCCATGTTTAGTCATATTGATATGGAAGCATGGTCAGGTAATGTAGATTCAATTTTGTTCAAAGCCATTATTAGTCATATTGATATGGAAGCATGCTCATATAGTGTACATTCAAGTTTGTTCAAATCATGACCCCTGAGGGTAGGATGGGGCCACAGTGGGGGATCAAAGTTTTACATAAGAATATATAGGGAGAAAATCTCAAGAACACCAAAGCCATATTTAGTCATATTGATATGGAAGTAGTGTAAATTCAATTTTGTTCAAATCATGACCCCCAGGGGTAGGGTGGGGCCACAATGGGGATCAAAGTTTTACACAGGAATATATAGGGAAAACAAGAGGCCCAAGGGCCTTAACGGTCACCTGAGTACAACAATTTAGTGGATCCATAAACTGATAAATGAAGCTTTAATTGTTGCCCAATAGCAAGAAAATTAGTACGATTAAGATCAACAAAATAATTGGTCTAGTATCTTTCTATCTGTCTCCCATTTATCACTATAACCACGCAGACTTTTAACAAAAGTCTATATTATTACCTTTCACATTGGCCTCACTTGGCCTTCGAAGAACATTTAAGAAGATAAGTTATTTTTGTTTCATTTTTATTCATCTATTATTTCCAAGTCTACCTGATAATTAAAACTATGAAAGTACTTTTTATATTATACAATAAATGTTCTTGCATAATTCTCTTATTCTATTAACCTTTCAAATACATTATCTACAGTGATTAATTATCAAAAGTGAATGGCAAAGGGGAATAACTTCACTCAATAGAATAGAAATTAATAGAGCCCTGGCCAGGACCAGAACACTTGACTAAATGGTCCAGATGTTGCAAATTTACAAATTTGGAAGAGGTACCCTCATCATCATAACTATGCAATTAGTTGAAGATTTTCAGAGAAATCACACATTTTCACTATAGTATCAAACAGAGCTCCCCCCTCTCCCCCCTCAGAGAAAACAACAGAACCCCTGGGACCACAAGTTTTAAAAATTTTGTAAAAGCATCCTTGCTCATCATAACTATACACTTGTTTCTTTGCTTTATAAACAGGAGTAGAAAAAAATATTTTGAAAGAAATTAAGAATTTTCACTATATAATCAATAGAGTCCCTCCCCCCCCCCCCCCTTCACCAGAACCCCTGACCCAGGGGCCATGAAATTCAAAATTTTGGAAAAGGCAGCCATTTTCATCATAAAAATGTACTTAGTTACTTTATTTCATACCCATGAGCAGAGAAGATTTTCAAAGATATAGTGCATTTTCACTATATAATCAATAGAGCCCGGCCCTAACACCAGAACCCCTCACCCAGGGGCCATGAAATTTACAATTTTTGAAGAGGCAGCCATGCTCATTATAACTATGTACTAAGTTACTTTATTTCCTACCCAGGAGCAGAGGAGAAGATTTTCAAAGATTTAATGCATTTTCACTATCTAATCAATAGAGCCCCACCCTAAAGCCAGAACCCCTGCCCCAGGGGTCATGAAATTCACAATTTTGGAAGAAGCAGCTATGTTCATCAATGTACTTAGTTAATTTAACTCATGAGCAGAGAAGAAGATTTTCAAAGATATAATGCATTTTCACTATATAATCAATAGAGCCTTGCCCTAACACTAGAACCCCTCACCCAGGGGCCATGAAATTCACAATTTTGGAAGAGGTAGCCATGCTCATTATAACTATGTACTTAGTTACTTTATTTCCTACCCAGGAGCAGAGGAGAAGATTTTCAAAGATTTAATGCATTTTCACTATCTAATCAATAGAGCCCCACCCTAAAGCCAGAACCCCTGCCCCAGGGGCCATGAAATTCACAATTTTGGAAGAAGCAGCTATGTTCATCATAACAATGTACTTAGTTAATTTAACTCATGAGCAGAGAAGAAGATTTTCAAAGATATAATGCATTTTCACTATATAATCAATAGAGCCCTGCCCTAACACTAGAACCCCTGCCCCAGGGGCCATGAAATTCACAATTTTGGAAGAGGTAGCCATGCTCATTATAACTATGTACTTAGTTACTTTATTTCATACCCAGGAGCAGAGGAGAAGATTTTCAAAGATTTAATGCACTTTCACTATATAATCAATAGAGCCCCGCCCTAACACTAGAACCCCTGACCCAGGGGCCATGAAATTCACAATTTTGGAAGAGGCAGCCATGCTCATTATAACTATGTACTTAGTTACTTTATTTCATACCCAGGAGCAGAGGAGAAGATTTTCAAAGATTTTGTGCATTTTCACTATCTAATCAATAGAGCCCCGCCCTAACACCAGAACCCCTGACCCAGGGGCCACGAAATTACAATTTTGGAAGAGGCAGTCTTGCTCTACATAACTATGTACTTAGTTAGTTTATCTAATACCCATGAGCAGAGAAGAAGATTTTCAAAGAAATAATGCACTTTCACTATATGATCTATATAGCCCCACCCTAGCACCAGAACCCCTGACCCTGGGGCCATGAATTTCACAATTTGCTAGAGGGCTCAATCCTAATTACAATCATGCCAACAGTTTGACTGCTTGATGTCCAGGAGTAAAGAAGAAGATTTTTAAAGATTGCATTAATTTTGGTGGTTTTAGCCCCACCCCTCAGGCCCCAGGGGGGCAGGGACCATGAAATTCACAATTTTTGTCCCCCTTCACCCATAGATGCTATATGCCAAAATTGGTTGAAATTGGTTGAGCGGTTTCAGAGAAGAAGCTGAAAATGTTTAAATGTTAACGCACGACGCACGATGGACGACGGACGACGACGGACAAAAACGGATAGCAATAGGTCACCTGAGTAACTCAGGTGACCTAAAAATCTTGAAAAATTTTCTTGTCAAGAACAGCAAAGCCATGTTTAGTCATATATATATGGAAGCATCCTCAGGTAGTGTAAATTCAAGTTTGTTCAAATCATGACTCCTGGGGGTAGGATGGGGCCACAATGGGCAATCAAATTTTTACACAGGAATACATTCGAAAAATCTTTAAAAATCTTCAAGAACAGCAAAGCCTTGATTGGTCATATTTATATGGAAGCATCTTAAGATAGTGTAGAACCAAGTTTGTTCAAAGCATGAATTGAAAAATATAATTTTATAAAATTTTCCAAGTTCTTGTCCTGGTAGAGGCACGGGAAGGAACTTGCACACAACAATCACTGTTTTCAATGTAAATCGCAATTCCTAAAACGTAATGGAGAGCTCAAACAAAAGAGTGACATCACAATTGGATTTAATTAATGCATATGCAAAAGATTTTATTGATATTCAACATGTATGTAGTGGTCCTCATTTCAGATCTTTTGTAAATTTTCACTTAAAAATTTGTTTTTAATAAGCATCTAAAATGAGTATGTTTAACAAAACAGTTGATTCCAAATTTTTCACATGAAATTTTATTTGTATTTCATTTAATAACAATATACTATACACAATATTTAATACTTCAACAAAATTTATTCAACAATCTATAACCATTTTGACACAGTGTCCCTACGAATTTCATAGTCTGTCACTAGATATCCAATGCATATCGGTACATAAGTCCCGGCAACACTCTTCTTGAAACATACAGCCTTCAATACTAAACTGATACTCTCCTATAACCTATACTATTCTCCCTGTTATTGCACAAACTCGTCCCTGAAAGCGAGACAGACAACAGCTTTCTGGTGACCACTGTATTCCTTCTTAACATCCCCCATCTCCACGGACCACAGACGGGCCATGTTGTCTGAGGAAGCTAAATATTAAAGCAGAGAAAAATACCCTGATTATACAAAGATGGCTAATCATCAGATTTATAAGAGTCTTTCAATAAATAATGCAACATCTGGTTTATCAAAATAAATGTGGAAACACTTCATTTTATTTTTCAAAAAGTTAAAAAGTTTTATTTAAGAACTCATTACTAAAAACCACATGCTTTGTCCTACTGTCTTTGCAAAGAAATTGACTTTAAGTATGGTCACTTCACTTAGCTGAAAACTATTTAAAAATGGTCCCTACCAAGAAGAAAATGGTGTGTGGAAAACTGGACTTCATTAGAAAAATCATTTAAAGACCCATTTGAAGATTTGGTTTTGAAATCTGGAAAGACTAGTCTTTCACATAGTATGGTGTTCAGATGGATTAAGAAATTCAGAAGTGGAAAAGGAGAGTTAAAAGATTACAGCTGAGCTGGCCAATCGAAATTTGTAGGGACACCAAAAATATTGATGCTGTGAGCAACATGATATCTGAAAACCACAGTTTATAAAGTTCTAACAAAGGAAATGAATCTAAAGAATACACGTGTATTTCTGTCAGATGGGTGCATTATTTACTTACAGATGCCTAAAGGAAAACATGTGTAAAAAGTGCCAAGGGTCTATTAATAAATGTTAACATAAGGTATGATAAACTTGGGAGATGGGTGATGAAACATGGATGCATTTTTTATAGCCCAAAAGGAAGATCAAAAATAAAATTTCAAATCGGAGTGGAAGTTTCGTTTTTTTTTATTTCAAGGAGAAGCTGAGGCTCCAAATAGCCTTACATAGGTTTTCTTCTTACTCGAAAGGTCCAGTAATACATGTACCTACATGTACACTAAAACTTACCTGTTATGATATTCTCTTAGTCCCCACAAATAAAAGCACGGTCCCATACCCATCTCTGAGTGTTACTCAGCTGTAAAGACTTACCTGTATTGATATACTGTGAGTCCCCACTAAAGGCACAGTCCCATACCCATCCCTAAGTGTTACTCAGCTGGTAAGACTTACCTGTAATGATATACTGTGAGTCCCTACTAAAGGCACAGTCCCATACCCATCTCTGAGTGTTACTCAGCTGGTAAGACTTACCTGTTATGATGTACTGTGAGTCCCCACTTAAGGCACAGTCCCACACCCATCTCTGAGTGTTACTCAGCTGGTAAGACTTACCTGTTATGATGTACTGTGAATCCCCACTAAAGGCACAGTCCCACACCCATCTCTGAGTGTTACTCAGCTGCTAAGACTTACCTGTTATGATGTACTGTGAATCCCCACTAAAGGCACAGTCCCACACCCATCTCTGAGTGTTACTCAGCTGCTAAGACTTACCTGTTATGATGTACTGTGAATCCCCACTAAAGGCACAGTCCCACACCCATCTCTGAGTGTTACTCAGCTGGTAAGACTTACCTGTTATGATGTACTGTGAGTCCCCACTAAAGGCACAGTCCCACACCCATCTCTGAGTGTTTTCCTTTAGTTCAGTCATGAGTGTGTGGTCAGCTGTTCTCCAGATCTTACAGGTCTGGTCAGCTGAAGTGGTGGCCAGTAACCTAGAAATTATCCAATAACAAATCATATCTCTCCACAAGAAAACAGCATATTGGAGAGGAACATTATTTAAAGCTGTAGTAATGGATGTCTAAGTCCCACCAATGTTTAAATGATTTTTATCATTTTACAAAGGTATTTCAAACCTTTCAAATGCAAAGTCTAAATTTAAGCAGCGTGAGTCCTTCAGTTTATGTAGGAGTATGGTCTAACAAAATTTCATGAGCAAAATATAACTTATTTAATCATGGTAATTGAATTACATTGTACATTGCAAAGGTAAAGTACTGAACTTCATATCAAATGATTGGTTATTAAAATTTTGGCAAGCTTGTTCCAGGGAGATGATATAATCAAATTATGGGTCACATACACATAATATTTGTGCCTTTTCAGAATCCCCCCTCCCCTCAATTAACCTAGTACAGGTACACTTCGGTATCTCGAACACCGATATGTCGAATACCACGGATATCTTGAAGTGAATTAACGGTCCCGGCCGTTTTTATTATATTTATGATTTTAAAAAACCCCGGTATGTCGAACACGGAAATCTCGAATACTACGCTTATCTTGAAGTAGATTTACGGTCCCAAGTGCTATAAACACATGCGTTATCTCAAAGTCCAACAAATTTCTCGCTCCGCTGAATTCACACCTTAGTATAAAATAATCTAATTATGCTAATTTTACGGTCTGTTGAACATGTCCGTTAGGTCTAGCACAGGCTTCACGGGACCATTGCTGATAATCACACCTTATTAGCCCCAAGCTGTTGTTTTTGGTAGTTAAATTTAATTACGCAGGCCAGGTGATTTGGAGATGTTAATAAAATGCACACTCAGACATATGATTACACGATAATGAAACAGCGGCTTGGGGACGATTACTGTAATAAGAATTTAAATTTATCGAAAATACACGCTTATACACATTATTACATATCAAAGTAAACACAGAACACATCAAAGTGATATTGAACTCAAGAAATTAAAAAAATTAAAGACATTATTTTTAGTATAAAAGTCAGTACCAAAAATCTAAATCTTCAGTACACATCATGTCTGATAAGCAATCTAACGAAGGACCCGGTAGCCAACCCGGGGGGATAGTTAGATTATCTGACCGTGGTGTAAAAAGAAAACTTTAAGTTCATACAATCGAAACAAAGTTTCAGGCTATTACAGAAGTCGAAAAAGATACAGAATCCAAGGCAGCTATAGCAAAGAAATTAGAAATTACTCCATACACCTTGTCAACATGGATAAAAAATGCAGAATAAATTATTGTAGAACGATAATTCCTGTTTCCGTTTTAATCCTTACTACAGTGATCGGTTTATCATTTACAAAGCGTAACACATATCCGGGTATCAGAAATCCTGAAACCAGCATTATTATCGCTATTGAAAGCGATCGAAATTTGTAAAATGTAAGTGTTGCAGTATTAAATAAAATAATATATGCATAAGTGTATATGCAAATGTATTTTTAAAAAGATAATCACTAAGTACGAACTAAAACATTTACCGCTTGAATTATGCACGTGGTGGAAAGGGGGGGGGGTTCCTGTTAATAGAACATGTAACATAACAATATCGGTACCAAATTTATCAACTTCGATATCTCGAACACTCGGATATCTCGAAGTTTTTCCTCAGTCCCGCCAAGTTCGAGATATCGAAGTTTACCTGTACTTACGTTGAATCTGGGCTGAACAGACACTTAATTCCGTACTTAGAGTGAGCTTCAAAGTTGTTTTTTAAGTGGACTTTAACTGGATCTGTCCCCCTTCCTCCAGACAGGGTCCAGATATAACACATCCCCTGTAAAGCATGATATTTAATGTAACATAGTCCTAAGAACTAAACACATCATCTCAGGAACACATACTCTGTTGAAAAACTGTCCAGTAATGGTGTTACTGGTATATCATATCGGACATGTTTGTTTTATTGCTTTAAATATGTATTTTCTTATCCGTGTTTAAAAATTTAATCATAAATGGATTGATTACAAATTGAAACAGATATTTGAATATGGACTTTCTAAAATATGCAAGTTTTTTTAACTCCTGAAATGAATCATATAATTGAGAGGTCTTTGTTAGGAATTAATGAATTCTCTCCCTTACCTTGTTGTTAATGGCAGACATCATTGTTCCCATGGGGTCTATACTGATTGATTGAATTGAGGCATCTTTTTCTGGAGTCTGTAATACAGTCGGTAATGCTGTTACATATACAGTAAAACTCGGTTTTTATGAACTCACTTTTAAAGGATATTTTACAATTTACAATTTAAAATATTTTACAAATCCAATAGAAGACTTTTCACTATGTTTCTTAAATGGATTATAAAGAATCTCATTGATAAGGAAGCAAAGTCTGAGGTCCCAGAGACATCCTTATAGCTGAGTTTTACTGTACAGCCATGAAAATAAGACGGGATAGGAAATAACAGAAAATCAACTACCGGTACATTGTACACTTTTACTTACAAAAATAAATTTAAATATGGTAAACATCATCATGATCATATCTAACTTCATTTAATCTATATACCAAATTTTCACTGCTATCTGTCTTCAGATCCCAGATGTGAATTTTGCCATTCTGATCTCCAACAAATATTTCTCCCTAAAAATGACCCGAAAAATCTTTAAAGCACAGAAATGACAATTTTGTCTTTATTAAATAAAAGACTCATTGTAATGTGAAAAGTACCATTTATATGAATTATATTCATGAATAAAATTATCAAAATTCTGTTCAAGTTCTTAAAGAAGAACAAAAATTAACTGTTAAATAAATTAAAGCTTACAAAATGAAAACAAACCTGGTTGGGATGTAAACACACACAATTTACTGGAGCATTGGCCTGAAATATTCTTTGACACTGCAAACTCCTTGTTCTGAAAAATACAGGTATATAAAACAATATAGGCATACAGTCAAGTACTGTTAACAGCAAATTAACACCTCAAAACTTAAAAAAATTCAGCAGACAAATTTCTTAAATCTAAACCATTGGTATGAGCCATTAATAACCTGAGATCCCATATGCGGACTGTGTTGTCTTCCCCGCCAGTGTACATCCATTTTCCCTCCTCATGAAAGCCAACACTGGTAACATTTTTCTGGATACCATCATAATTTACAACAGGGTTAGGGTTATCAGAGTTCAAGTCATACATTCTAATATGTTGATATCCTAGGTAAAAATTCAATACATTTACAACAAAAAAAAAAAACAAAAAACAAAATAAAAAAAAAAAAAAAAAAAAAACATACATGAACATAATACATATAATACATAATGATTATGTTTCCAAAGTAGCAGTCTACCCTTTAACATAAATGTGTAAGAGAATTAATGAATAAGTATTTATTTTAACTAAAAAAAAAAATTAAAACTGGAAAGCAAAATCTGAATACCTTCAAATTTATTAGAGGCTAGAATAAACTATAGTGTCAAACGTGAAATATTAGTTTATAAAAATGAAGTTAAAGGAGGCACTTAAAAAGTGCATGACATAGACCTTTATCCTTTTTTCCATTAGTTCATTAGTAAATACCTCTTAACTAAATCAGATCACCTATCACAGTTAACCTCTTAACTAAATCATATTACCTGCCGCTGCTATCATCTGCTTGTCAGGAGTGATTTCCAAAGCATTCACTTGCTGCATTATGTTAAGACAATTAATTTAATCTGTTATGTAGGATTTTTTTTTATTCAAATGTCTAGAACGTGTTGGTTCATTTGACAGAATAAGACCAGAGACATAGACAACACATACAGCACTGCATAAAGCTGAATTTTAGAGATTAACCCAAATTTTCATATATTTTTTTCAGGATACTGAGTCAGGGTGCTGGACCGTTCTGTAACATATTCCTGTGTGTGCCTGCCAGAACCGTATTGTGTGGTCGTATCCTGCTGTCGCCAATATCACAGGGTCGCTGTTGCCCTTCTGTCCACTCATTTTGGTTGTTTATTAAAGTATGAAAGTCACAACATGCTTGCAAATGTTTACAGCGGATGTAGTATTCCTGTGGTATTTTCTGAAGCGTCCCGGTCCTGTTCGTTAAATACTTTCAGATGAAGGAACGAAAATGAGATGAATGCAAAAATCAAAACAAAAGTCAAATACTTAAGCAAAGCCTCCATAGAATAGATTAAGAGGATTCCTCACGTCTTTTTATGAATATTTTGATGATGTTCTGATATAAGTAATTCCTAGAATTACCCAGTTCTTATTGAGGTGTAATTTGATTGGCTAAAGAATTAAGATGGCTTCCAACTTCAGTGGGGCACTGCAGTTAACAGATTTAAATGACTTTATCACTCCTTCACAGGTTGTATGGTACATTTTATATACTTTTTATGAATTCTTTAAAAACAATTTGCGCATGTCATGGGAAAAAATAGCGTTTAATTTGATCATGGATATGAAAATACATATTTTAGTGGTCAAGGTTAAGCTATTTCTGAGATTCCGAACCCGATTTCATTGGGAAGGATTAAAAATTCCCATGATAAGTGGCCTAGTTTTGTTCTTGAGGATATTTTTTATGAGTCTTGGATGTGGTGGTCAGACAGCATTGTTAGCTGTAGCCAGATTAATCAATCTGTCCAATCAAAATACAAGTCTAAAGAATGTCAATGGATTGGTGCAAAAATGGGAATAAAATGAATGCATGTGGTTAATGAAAGTTAAAAAAATGTCAATAAATTAACACTATGGATGTGATTCCTGGTGTTTAAGTTGGTAAAATAGAGAATTAAAGAAAATTTGTATAACTCATTGCCATCTGAGTGTTCTCTTGATTAGACTACTACCTGCTAAGTTCAGAAGACCATACCTCCTTTCTTAGTCAGATTTGTTATATATTTTCCCTTTTTACATTTGTCCATGCAATCAGTTGGAGTAAACACCAAAAAAGATGTCATATGAACAAGCCTGGCTTAGAGTCTTCTTTGGTATAAATATTTATGAATAACTAATTTAAGTGGAGGAACATCTCTGTCAGTTTTAGTGTAAGGACCCAATGATTTATCAAGTACCTTATTCAAATCCTGGTTTGATCCCTTACCTCTTTTCACTTCCTGTTACACTTGGTGACCATCCTTTGAGATTGAAGAAACATTTATAACATGGCAAAGTTGAGCATTCAATTTGATAGATGCCATCAGACTTTTAAAGAGATTAGAAATGTGCAAGATAGCTCAGTTGAGTACTTTTGTAGAGCTCAATGGAGCAGACATTAAAATCATGTTCTTGACTGATGATTTTTTTCCTTATTATAGGGAGAAATGCATGTATACTAGAAGTACTGGTATCCAAATGGTACATTGAAATATTAATTATAAGTTTCAAAGAAAGAACAAATTTTTTGCAGCTGTTTAGTAGATTAATTAATTGTGTCTAGATAGGACAGATGATAGCTGAAAATTATGTTCTTGAAAGACTATTTTGCTATATCTTAAAAAAATATACAAATGGTATTTCACTTGCTTTATATTAACCATGTCACTAACTCACTATTATTTTATATTTAATTCATACTTTAATATTGTTTTAAAAACTCTTATTTTCAGGAGTGTGTAAAGCCAATTAAGATTTACAGAAAGCCAGGAAAAGTAGCTAAAATAAGAATAGAGGATGATGGTTCTTATATGGAAGTAGCCGAGGTACACATACAAACTATTATACATGATAGTTTTTATTTTTAATTTACTTTTTATCAGTTTTAAATCCATCTGCAACAATTATTTTTCTGTATTAAACTGATAAAACTTTTTACCTATTTGCACAATTTTACCATCAGTAAATGGTTTGGGATGAGAAATTAATATATATGAGAAAAAGAAAGTCGCAAAAGTTGTAGATATTTCTTGCAACCAAAGTAGGCTTACAGTACATCATAAAATTTTATGCTCATCATTTTCAATAGATTTAAAGTACTAATTAGTTTCAGTTAGTGATATCAAGTATATAAGATAACAGACAGAAAAAATGATACAGTATACCAACTTTTATTCGTGTAGAAGAAATATTTAGAGTTTCACAACCTATTTTAACTCGCAAATATATATCACTGCAGACCAATTATTTTGCTTTGTATTTGTAGAGAATGTTTCCTCAGTTGCGAAAATTAATTGTTGCGGATTGATTTTAAACTGACGATTCGTGAATAAAAGACAACGCAAATAAAAGTTGGTTTACAGTATTGTAATTTACCCGGTAGATATTACAATATGTGTATATATTAATACTGTATATACTCATATATAAGATGTGTGATTTAAAATTTCTTAAAGAGTGGAGAAGAAAAGAAGCTACAGAAAGCTCGAATCACTTTGAATGATTGCCTGGCTTGTAGTGGGTGTATCACTTCAGCGGAGAGTGTTCTAATCACACAACAGAGTCAAGAGGAACTTTACAATGTTCTACAAGAAAATCTCAGACTTCAGCAGGTAAGGAAAAAAAAGCTATAGGTTGCTTATTCCTCATAATATAAAAGTGAAAATAGGATTATAATAAAAAGGTGAAAAAGGTGTAAAATTAAGGGTTTCTTTTCATTTAATGACACAGGAAACCTATCTGTAAAGTATGAAGCACAGCCACATACAATGTTACATAATACCATAATTTTGTAATAACTTAAAAAATTGTCTTCATTAACAGACAGGGGAATTAGACAAACAGAAAGTAGTTGTTGTCTCAATATCCCCTCAGTCGAGAGCTTCCCTAGCAACAAAATACCAGTTGTCATCAGAAGTAGCTCATCAAAAACTCACAGGATTCTTCAAAAAGCTGGGTTATTGTTCATTCAGTGCTTGATGTGATTTATTCTGATACTTTGTACTTGTGCATTTATGAATTAGAACCATACAAGTATTCTTTGTTTCTTTTATTAGGTGTACATCATGTATTTGACACCACCTTCTCCAGGAACTTTAGTTTACTCGAGAGTTGTCGGGAATTCATCCAGCGCTATTATGAGGCAGAAACCAACAAGACATCCCTCCCAATGTTGGCTTCAGCATGTCCTGGTAAACAACTTATGAATATTTGATTACCAGTAAATTCATGTTCATTATTTGCAGAGTACTTAGACAGAGTTACTCCCCTTAAAATGCAAATTCATCTTTTTGTAAAGAGTTTTTTTTTTTTAAAAATCAAAATAAATGACTTTGAACTTGAATTTTAAGAATGAGTGTAGAAATTAGTGGATTTTTTTTTAGGATGGATCTGTTATGCAGAGAAGACACATGGTTCCTACATTCTCCCATATATAAGTACCACAAAATCTCCTCAGCAGATCATGGGCTCACTAGTGAAGGACTATTTTGCCAGGAAGCATGGTTTGATCCCTAGCCAGGTCTATCATGTAACAGTGATGCCTTGTTATGATAAAAAGCTGGAGGCCTCCAGACAAGATTTTTACAATGACGTCTACCGGACAAGGGACGTGGATTGTGTGATCACCTCAGGTGAGCCCTATAGGTACTTATTTACTTGTGAATGTTCTTCTAGTCATAGTTAAAATAAGCTGTCTCTATGTTAGAACAAGTCTTAGCTTTAATATTGTAAATATTGATGAATTTGTAGCAGAATAATATTCTTATGTTATTTTATGAGAGCTGAGAAAGTTTCAACATTTATTGCAAATGGTTTAAAAACAAAAGCAATTTTGTAGGAGAAGTGGAGAAAATGTTGGAGAAAGAGAACATCTCTCTGGGAGAAGTTGAAGGAGACACATCATTTTCACTGTAAGGACATGTATATAAAACATTGTAGGAGCTATTTAAAACTGTCTTGTACAATGTCTCTTTCCATCTCCCAAAAATAAGTTTGATTTTTTGAAATTTGATATTTTACACATTGACATCATGTTTGCCTCTAATAAAATAAGGCTAAAAAATTTTCCCATTTTTAGTTCTTGCACATGACACATAGAAATAGCAGATCCAAACTGTATTGGAGCTGTGTGGAAATGGGAATTAGTCTACTCTGCAATTTACAAATATTCATAGTTATACCTTTAAAAATTGTTTCCTATATGATTCTACACTTTAAAAAGTCTAACATTTCCAATGTTTTACTGAGCGGTCATAAAAATCCATGTTTGACCACAGAGTGAGATATTGGACATGTCAATGAGATATTGGACCGCTTACATCACAGTGTGGGCGGGGTCAGCTGTATCTTATTTGCATTCGTTGGAGTTCGACAGAACTTTACGGAATTGACCAAGTTTAAACCACAGTGCGGGTAAACAAAATTTACATCGTGTTATGTCAAAATAAAAAGTGAAAGGTATAATAAAACATTTATTACACCCCCCACAAACGAAGTTTAGGGGGGGGTATTTTGAAATCAGCATGTCCGTCTGTCTGTTCGTCTGTCTGTAGACGAGATTTTGTCCAGACCATTTCTTGGAAACTGTTGCAAGGATTTGTCTGAAAATTTGTACACTTATTATTTGCCATATGAAGGTGTACACCTGGTATTTTCTTCATGATTGAATGATTTTTATGCATTCTACAGGTGTTTTTTTCATTTTTATTATGTGGTTTTGTCCGGATCTGTTCCCAGAGACTATTGCATAGATTTGTATGAAAATTTGTACATTTATTATTTACCATATGAAGATGTGCACCTGGTATTTTCAACATTATTTGATAATTTTTCTGCATTTTACAGGTGTTTTTTTTTTTCATTTTTATAGACTTAGTCATTTCAGATTCATGTCTAAGGTTTGAGACATAGAATCTAGAACATCTGTACAAAAATGTGAACTACAGCTTAAAACTACTCATTAGAACTAAAAAAAAATCACAAAGTATTAAAAACAGTTTTTACATTACACAGCAGATAGTGTAAATCCATATGTCTCTAGGGAGTAATGAGTGGACATGCACCCAGTTAAAGATTAATTAATGAATTCAGTGTGGGAAGCTGTTAGGGCATCTCTGATCAAGCAGGTCTTATCTATATCTCCTGGGAATTGGACAGAAAGAAATAAAGA